GACTCTTTCTTGAGAAAAAAGCCTGCAGTCTAGACATAGTCTTGGAGTGAGGTGGAGATGGACATAGGAGATGGAAGTGTTGAGAGTCTCTAGGGGTATGTCTACACTACCACCCTAGTTCGAACTAGGGTGGTAATGTAGGCAACCTGAGTTGCAAATGAAGCCCGGGATTTGAATTTCCCGGGCTTCATTTGCATATTGCCGGGCGCTGCCATTTTTAAATGTCCGCTAGTGTAGACTCCGTGCCTCGCAGCTACATGCGGCACGGACTAGGTAGTTCGGATTAGGCTTCCTATTCCGAACTACCGTTACTCCTCGTTAGGAAGCCTAATCCGAACTACCTAGTCCGAGCCGCATGTAGCTCTGGGCCCGCGGCTACATGCGGCTCGAACTAGGTAGTTCGGATTAGGCTTCCTATTCCGAACTACCGTTACTCCTCGTTAGGAAGCCTAATCCGAACTACCTAGTCCGAGCCGCATGTAGCCGCAGGCACAGAGTCCGAACTAGCGGACATTTAAAAATGGTGGCACCCGGTAATATGCAAATGAAGCCTGGGAAATTCAAATCCCGGGCTTCATTTGCAACTTCATTTGCCTACATTAACCACCCTAGTTCGAACTACGGTGGTAGTGTAGACATACCCTAAGATGCCACAGGATTACTTGTTTTTAAAGTCACAGATTAACATAGCTCCCCTTCTGAGACTACTGCGGTAGCTCATGAGAGAGGTTGGTGAGAGGGGAGCAGGCCCACTGACAGCAATTCCAAACACCAGTGCAAAACAGTCAATTGCCCCCATCCATGCACAGGTTCCAGATGAGTTCTCCTGACATTTGGGTGGTGCTGAGCCTGTTCTGACTTGCAGCGTAGCCAGGGCTTCCATACGCACACCTGGTAGGATTGCCAAGTGTCTAATCACACAAACCCAAAGACCCTTGCTCCACCCTCTGTCCTTCCCCTTTCCTCAGGCCACACACCTGTCCCCACCCTTCTCCAAGGTGACGCCCCCCACTCGCTCCAGCCTCCATCACTCATTCTTCACCACCCTCACTCACTTTCACCAGGCTGGGGCAGAGGGAGTGTGGGAGGGAATGTGGGATGCAGGCTCCGGGAGTAAGCTGAGGTGCAGCAGGGGATGCAAACTCTAGGGGAGACTGTGGCGAGGGTGCAGGGTTGGGCTTTGGGAGGGAGCTTGGGTATGGGAAAGTGTGGGGGCTCTTGGCTGGGAGGGGGATTGGGGTACAGGATAGGGTGCGAGGTGCCGATTCTGGGAGGAAGTTGGGGTGTAGGTGGGGGTGTGGTTCTGGACTCTGGGAGGGAGTCAGGGTGTAAGCTCTGGGCTGGGGCAGGGGATTGGGTGCTGAAGGCAGTGAGGGCTGCGGCACTTATCTCGGGCAGCTCTCAAAAGCGACCAGCACACTCCTCTGGCAGTGGCTCCTAGGCAAGGGGGACCAAGAGGTCTCTGCACTTTGCTGCCCACGAGCACTGCCCCTGCAGTTCCCAGAGTCAGCACTCAGGGCAGGAGCCGCACATGAGACACACGCGCACACAGAGGCTGCAGGGACAGTGCACTCTCCGGGAGCAGAGCAGAGTGAGGATGTGTCAGAAGCCTGCCTTAGCTCCACTAGGCTGCCAAAGGCAGCCAGGGACCTCTGGGCCCTTTTAAATGACCCATGCCCCTGAGAATTGCCCCTTTTGCCCCTCCCAGTGGCAAGCCTGGAGAAGAGTATCCTGAACTCCACCCCCTCTAAGAGTCAGGCACCTAAGTCACCTGACTCTAGCAAAGAGGTTCCCAGTTTGTGGCTCAGTAGTGAGATAGGTACTTCCCTGTAGTCTGGACACAGGACAGGTCTACATTGGCAAAAAAAATCGATTCAAAATACACATTTCCACCTACATGAATTGTATAGCTGGAGTTGACATACCTTGCACCAATTTTCTGGGGTGGCCCCACAGTGGGAGGTTGCTCCCATCAAATGCCCTTACTCCTTGCGACAGCAATAGTGAGGAGTACCGGTGCCAATGGAGGCGTCTTCAGCATTCGATTTAGTGCGTCTTTAAAAGACCCACTAAACTGAACCCTGGAGGATTGATCGCCAGAGTGTCAATCCTCTGACCAGTGGAGACATGGCCTTAAGTGCCTAGGTCAGTTTCTGAGCGAATGAATTAGAGCCTGCTTCACTCCACACAACAGAGCCAAAGAAGATGGTGACCTCGCTTCACTTCTGAGTGGTGAGAGCACTCACCAGGCATGTGGGAGAACTATGTTCAATGTCCCCCTCTGCTGAGGAGGAGAAATTATTTGAACAGAGGTCTCTCACCTCTCTGAAGGTAGGGTGTTCTAACCACTGAGCTATGGGAATTTCTCCCATTGAAGCTGTTCCACTGTGGGTAAACACTTAAAGAGTTATTGGGCAAAAGAGAGAGTGTGCTCATGATTCTGCAGATTAGTGCTTAGAGCACATATCTGGGCATGGGACACCCATGCCCCTGTCCCCCTGCTGCAATGAATCCCACCCTTAGTTCCTATATAAAGGCCATGCTTTCATTTAATCTCTGTGCAGCCTTCAAACTGATATCAATGGATATTCCACAGAGCATAGTGAGGAGTATACAGTCCAGAATATATGCCCAGATTCATAATTAGATTAGTATTTAGTCCTCTCCTCTTGATGAGTTTGACATCCATTTACTGTACAGACCAGGGTGGCTCAAGGAATTGGTAAAGGAGTGCAGAACCATTGTCAAGTAGTTCAAAAACAGGACTAGTATCCCAGAAATCCTGAGTCTAAAACACCACAGTCCCCAACAGAGCATCTGGCATTTTACAAACTTCTTTCAAAGCATTATTTTTACAGCTCTTTTCTCCTCTAAATTAAACCTAGTTATAATTCAGAATCATTCCCATTGATAGCTCTTTCCTGATGTTTCTGAACTGAGTCTGTGTTCCCAGTTTAGTACTACTGCAAGCGAGCCGATGTCCACATCACCAAAATCACCATCACAATTGGTACCTTTGTTGGCAGGTCACAATAATGAGATAAAAGATTTAATGGGCATATAGGACAAAAGAACCAGAGACACAGGGAAAGCCATGCATTTGTCCAATCCTATATTTGTTCTGTGGCTTTAGTCCCCAGCTCTTTCATGAACACTATATTTATTTCTAGAGGTAATTAAATAAATTACAACATTTAGGAGACGGTGAAAAATTTAATGGAGCTGCATTTAGTTTTACAAATTGTAAATATACACATTAAGTAAGAAAAATGAAGTATTACCTAGTTTTGTACATATAAGCTCGTTATAATCCATGTTAATTCTGCCTTTCTCCTTTTGTAAAATTTATTCATGCTTTTTTAATTTGCTTTATTTCTACAAGTTCTTTTTTTTTAATCTAGCCAGAGAATGTAGCAAGGGACAAGGGAAGTCTGTGATTTATTCACCAAGCAAAGCTCAACTCAGATACAACATCTTTCCTTCACTTTATTTTTTAACCAGTTTTTCAGCAAGAAGTCCAAATAATGTCCAACCTCTTCTGGCTCCTAAACTTTTATTCTAATTACTAGTCAGATCCCACCACCCGCAAAGATTACAAAATGTTTAATTTCAAAGCATCCTCCATCACAGGCATGCATGAAAAACTAAAGTCAATGGCTGAGACAAACAAATATTGACACCTGGTTATCATCAACCACTGATGTGTGAAAACTCTAAAGAATTCTTGACATTCTGCTTCCACATGTTGATCCTTACCTAAAATATATGATGAAGATACTTAGGTTTGCTAACTGGGTTTTTTTTCGTAATTAAATGTTTCTATAATTTACAAAATCTTAATTTTTTATTTCACAACACCTTCGCTACTTAAATTAATGGCAATGAATAATAACTCCTTTGTGCCTTTTTAGCATGTCCATGTTAAAATTTTTCCATAATGTTTTGCCCTTCCTGACTAAAAAGATTCATTCCTTAAACCCTTGCTCTGTTCTTTATTCTAGGTCATGGGTTATATGGGACTTTTGAAATGTTGTCCTCCTGGAGGAAAACTAGAGAAGACCAACATGTTAAAGAGAGAACTGCAGCTGTGTTTGCAGACTCCATGCTCTCCTTTTCTCTCACCACTGCCATGTACCTGGTCACTTTTGGAATAGGTGCCAGTCCTTTCACTAACATTGAAGCAGCTAGGATTTTCTGCTGCAATTCCTGTATTGCAATTTTCTTCAACTACCTCTACGTACTGTCCTTTTATGGTTCCAGCCTGGTGTTTACTGGCTACATAGAAAACAACTACCAGCATAGTATCTTCTGCAGAAAGGTACCAAAACCAGAGGTATTGCAAGAGAAGCCTGCGTGGTATAGGTTTCTTCTGACAGCCAAATTCAGCGAGGACACAACGGATTCAGAGGAAACAAATACTTATGAAAGTCATCTTTTGGTGTGTTTCCTCAAACGCTATTACTGTGACTGGATAACAAACACTTACGTCAAGCCTTTTGTAGTTCTCTTTTACCTTGTTTATATTTCCTTTGCCTTAATGGGCTACCTGCAGGTCAATGAAGGGTCAGACCTTAGTAACATCGTAGCAACTGCGACACGAACTATTGAATACACTACTGCCCAGCAAAAGTACTTCAGTAACTACAGCCCAGTCATTGGGTTTTATATCTATGAGTCAATAGAATATTGGAACACAAGTGTCCAAGAAGATGTGCTAGAGTATACCAAGGGGTTTGTGAGGATATCTTGGTTTGAGAGCTATTTAAATTATCTTAGGAAACTCAATATATCAACAGGATTGCCCAAAAAGAATTTTACTGACATGTTGAGGAACTCTTTCCTGAAAGCTCCCCAGTATGCCCATTTTTCAGAGGATATCATCTTTTCCAAGAAATACAACAATGAAGTTGATGTAGTGGCTTCTAGGATGTTCTTGGTGGCTAAGACAATGGAAACCAAGAGAGAAGAACTCTATGATCTCCTTGAAACCTTGAGGAAACTCTCTCTCACATCAAAAGTGAAATTCATTGTTTTCAATCCATCATTCGTGTACATGGATCGTTACGCCTCCTCAGTGGGAGCCCCCTTACAAAACTCCTGCATCAGTGCTTCCTTTCTGCTCTAATCAATGTCTGGCTCACTCTAACTGTTGCCTCAGTCGAATTTGGAGTCATAGGTTTCATGACCTTGTGGAAAGTGGAACTGGACTGTATTTCTGTCTTGTGCTTAATTTATGGGATTAATTATACAATTGACAACTGTGCTCCACTGTTATCAACCTTTGTCCTGGGCAAAGATTTCACAAGAACTAAATGGGTAAAAAATGCCCTAGAAGTGCATGGGGTAGCGATTTTACAGGGCTACCTCTGCTATATTGTTGGTCTGATTCCTCTTGCAGCTGTGCCTTCAAATCTGACCCGTACACTGTTCAGGTGCTTGTTTTTAATAGCATTAGTCACCTTCTTTCACTGCTTTGCCATTTTACCTGTGATACTGACTTTTGTGCCACCATCCAAGAAAAAAAGGAAAGAGAAGAAGAATCCTGAAAACCGTGAGGAAATAGAGTGTGTTGAAATGGTGGATATGGATAGTACCCGCGTGGTTGACCAAATTACAACAGTCTGACTTTTTTGTTTGTTGTCTTTTCACATTAGGTCTTATTGAGAGAAAAGAGATCATTATAGACTAAACATTGGATTTTTTTATTTTTCTTTTCCTAAACTAAAACCAAGAATAGCCAAAATAGTGGGTGGGGGAAAATGGAAATTGTACATTAATTGGCCTCCATAACAAAAATGTTATTAGTGAAAGAATTTATACCCACATGCAAAGAGTGTGAATTTTGGTCACTTGAGGTAAGATCTAATAAGGGAAGATGGGTTACTAAGCACTGTTCTGCCTTCTCTGTACTGCAGATACAGCTATTATTATTGCTGAGCCCAATCAGACTGAAAGGTCAACTGTCAAGGCAGAAGTAACGTTCAGTGTTCATCCAGAGGTAAAGGCTTTACAAACTTTCTGCACAGCAATAATTCAGCTCAATGAGTCAGCTGTGATAGGTCTTAGCCATCACATTGAACTTTTCTTTTCTCTTTTCCACGAATGAAAACATTTGTGCAAGTTTGTATAACAGAAAGCAAATTGAACTAGAGAAGAAGGCTGTATGCAGCTGTAACCCACACACCTTCTGGGTGTGGCACACTGTCTCATGTAGTGGCACGGAGACCACTTGCAAAGAGACTAATGAGTCTGCTCTACAGCCTTAGCTACTAGTCAGCTGGCTTTTAGCTCATGCAGTAGAGGCTCGTGTAATACGCTCCAGAGGTCCCAGGTTTGATTCTGCCTGCCAGTGCTAAACAGCAACCAGACACTTTTAGAACAAATTTGTGTTACAAATCACTTTCTTTTCTAAAAATACAGTTATTTTAAAATGTAATTCATCTCCAAGAACATTTTTAACATGGTTTTGTAGCTGCTCCTTTTTAAAAAAAAACAAACAAAAAATGTCAGTGACTCTGGGATGCTAGAAAATGTACAATTCTATTTTATGAATGTCTTGCTACTAGCTAAACAAGAGATCTGCTTTACCAACCATCATTTTGTTAGTACTGTACTAACATATGCCAATGACTCTAACAGCAGATAAAAGATGGTGTACTGAATATTTCAGCACCGAAATCCATGAAACAAGCCTCAAATACCTAATGTCACCAAGGAAAAGTGAATGTTAGGGATCCTTTAATAAGAGTCTCTTTCAGGCCATTCACTAGTAATGGACACTAAGAGGATTAATGGATAGTTTTACATAATGTATAACTTAATCCTTCAATCTTCCTAGAGTAGCTGTAAAGCAATAGCCTTTACAGTGATGGGCTCTTCCAGGAGACAGGAGATCACAATGTGAGTTATATATTACAGTTCAAAGGTGGGACCACGTTAACTGTGTCACATTTAACTGTTTCCCCAGAGAGCCTGTACCAAAGGGGCCTATTGAAAACACTACATTATTTTATTTTACATTTCTGAGTCTTTTTGGAGCATTGTGTTATAAATCGATAATTATGTCAACATCTGTGATGTGGAGTAATGTGGATAAAGAAGCATCCTCACTCCCACCTCATATCCCCTTAAAGAATCACAGGACATTCTTGTGAGGTTTCATAGCAACCAATTAGACCCCCCTTCTGGGAACATAGGCCAATTGACTAGTTTTGTTGGAGAAGTCTTAACTGGTCAATAGAAACCCAATAATACTGAGCTGACTTCTGAGTGAGATGTTCTAGTGGCTATTCTTTGTTAACATCTGCCCAGAAAGTGAAGAAATACTTGAAAGTATTTCAATAACTGGCACAATGTTTACCTAAATCATAGGTTGTGGAACTCAAATTGATGTTTTCAGGGTGTGTGTGGCTTGGACTAACGAGAGTGCTTTGGTTTGAGGAGGCTGCATATGTTACACAATGATTAGTGTATCCGCTGCAACAAATTGGTGATTTGCCTCTCGCTGCGTAGTACAGTACTTCACTTCACTAATTCAAAATGGCTCCCATTAGACTTGTGTGAAAACCTCAGATTCCATTTTGTGAATTTTAATTTTCAAAGAGATATTTCTACAACTTTTTGCTTAGCCAAAAATTCAGACCTTTTACCCTGAAGCAAAGTCTGTTGACTCTGTAGGAGCAACTGGAAGCTCTAATGCATGGGTTCCCAAACTGGGGGGCATGCCCCTCAGGGGGAGTTGAAGAAATTCCGGGGGGGGGGGCATGAGGCAACCCAGCCCCCTCTCCCCCCCCCATCAAGTTTTGCTACCCCGGTCAGTTCCTTTTCTTTTTGCTGTTTGGGGTGGGGTCGTGAGGGTTTTTCAAAAATCACAAAGGGGGTATGATGCCAAAAAGTTTGGGAACCACTGCTCTAATGCAACTTCATTCTTGGTAGAAAAACTGTCAGATATCCTCAGGCCTGGAGAAAAATAACAGAATGTGGGGGTGGATGGAAAGGTACTTTAAGAAGTCCTAGATAGCCTCTGTAAGCACCTGTTGTTTGCTTTAGTTTTTTGTTTTATTTATTTTTGATATTTTCTTTAGGCTCAAGCCATGGTTTATAGTTTCCAGCCATATGGGGGATGGAGAGAGATTTGTGAGCACAGAAAATCAGCTTTATTTCAGAAAAAAATCAAGAGTTTTCATGTGATTATTTTAAGTGTGATTCCTGTCTGCCAGTTTCACTTTCACTTTGAATTTTTTCCAGAGAACTCTAAGCACACTGATGCTTTCTGTGAAATAAACTTTGGGAGTCCTTTGAAAGGTCCAATTTTTCATATCTGTTTCTGAGCTTGATGTGGGTTAGTCTTTAAATTAGGTCCCCAGAGGCACATTTATTTTAAATTTTATGTGACAGTCATTATTGTCATCCAAATAACACCTAATTACCCTCCATTAGCACTGTTTCAATGGACAGGATACATTAGCTTTTAAACTTCAATAAATAGGTATTTAACTATCAGTAGATTTACTAACACCCACTATTATCAACCTCTTTACATTTAAGTTAAATGGCTAGCTGGGACTCTTTAAGTGCTACTGAGGGAAAAGATGGGTATTCAAGCTTGTAGCTTCATAGGTCTCTTATTAAATCTGAGCAAAGTGGAGCCTTTTGCTATCTCCTTGGAAGAAGGCAAAAAGGAGCTGGAATTCCAGCAGATTTAGGGACAAAAGAGTAGGCAAAGTGGTATTTTCCTCTGAACCCCAGAGAAGCCCCACCATAAAACACCATGCAATTACATTTGGGTGTACGCAAGTGCTGGACTTTGCCTTGCTTTACCAGAGATTGGGAAGAACTACTTTCTGCAGCATCACTGCCCCAAATAGACCCAGAAGAATTTTCACACATACTTTAATCATAACCTTTCCACTTCTGTTCCCCACCTTCAGAAAGAGATTGAGCTAGGCACCATCAGGAAGCCAGCATAATTCCTTGGGATGATCTGGGCCGAAGCCAGGCTATATTCACCAGAAACTATTCAAGTGGTTAAATAATTTAGGCTCATATATCAGCCCAAAGCTATTAACCCTGCAAAAGAGATAACCCTTTTTACCCTTGACAAACAACCATAAAACATCCCCAAGTGTTTGTGTAAAATTCTGCTTAACCTATTTTAGAAGTCCATCTTTGCTTAAGCAAACAATTTGGTCATCAAGGCTCGATCCTTTGCCACAGATTTCAATGTGTTTTTCTGTGCAATACAGAAAATCCCTTTCCCAGACACACACAAAAATTGTCAGTGTCTAACATTGTGGCAGGCAATGATTGACAGTTACATGAGATGTTTTATTAGCCTCAGATAAAACTATTATCTGGATTTTTTATTTTAAACAGGACTAAATATGAATACCATTCCAGTCAGAACATAAATTTACAAACACTACAATTTCTTTTTAATACATTATTGTTCAGAGCACATTTCACATAATGGACAAGCATATAAAAAAAAGAAAAAACTAAAATGCATATAACCGTTGAGTGCAATCTAGTCTTTCTTGCAAGATTATTCCCTATGGTGGCTTAACATACGTTTATTTTCAATTTACAAGTATTTCATTCTTGGAAAACACTGAGAGTGCATCTACAGCTGCACCTGTAGCTCAAAATAAGCTACGCAGTTTAAGCTATGCAAATTGTGTAGCTTATTTTGTGACAATTTTAAAATAGTGTATTTCATAATTTGGTACTGTCTACACGGCACCAAATTTCAAAATAACTTGCTATTCTGAAATGTCCCTTATTCCTCGTGGAATGAGGTTTACAGGGATGTTGGAATAGCAAGCCCGAAATAATGGGCTTGCTCTTAAGACGTGGGGTAGTTATTTCGGGATACCTCTGGTATCCCGAAAAAGCGCTGCAGTGTAGACATAGCCTAACAGAGGAAAAATTGGAACATCTGGAATCATTTCACTTTAAACAGAAATTGGCCATGTCAAAATTTTCTGCCCAAAGCTTCATCAGAGAATTTTCTAGTTAGATTAAATTTAGAGCTGTGAGAGCTGAGGAGAAGGAACAGCTCCTTTTCCAAACACAAACAAGCTCAGCAAGGCTAGCTTTATGAGCCTAAAGGGAAAGTGCATCACTGACGCACCTTGTATTACTATCAAACATTCCAGTATTTGCTTCAGAACTGAGAGCTTTCCTTATCCGGACTGAATTCAGAGAAAATGGCTAAAGAAATAGAAAACTGTTTAGTGACAGTTTTAGTCTGGATTCACTCTCCTTCCTGCCAATTGCCATGTCCTACCCCAGTCACAAATCTGATTCATTCATTTAACACAAAAAAAAACTGGTTAAAGCCATGTCACAATCCAATAGTTTGTGTTAAGAGTGATGTCTCCATCCTTAAACAAGGGAGAAGCAAAGCCCTCTGTTAAGACTGAGTTTTATAGAAGGAAAAACCCGAGTTATTTCTAGCTTTCAGTTGCTAACAAATACATGGTTTCCTGTTTCTTAACATTTGAAAGTAGATAAAAGTAGTATGGGCCAAACCCTTCCACAGTTAACCTTGTATACAGTTCTACGTCATGAGGATGGGGGGGGTGGGGAAGCAGAGGGCCTGGATAGAGGCTCCAGGCTCAACTGTGTACAATGAAAGGGCTCCAGCTATTCTAGTGTGAATAGATTTTGGAGAGCAGGCTGAGGTACAGAAAGCATTAAGACGTGCTCCTTGCATTAGGCTGTGTCCAGACTCAGGGGTTTTTTCGAAAAAAGTAGCCTTTTTTCGAAAAAACTTCACCTGCGTCTAGACTGCAGCCGCGTTCTTTCGAAATTAAATCGAAAGAATGCAGCTTTTCTTTCGACGGCGGTAAACCTAATTCCATGAGGAAGAACGCCTTCTTTCGAAAGTGCTCTTTCGAAAGAAGGT